ATTATTATTATTATTGTTGTTGTTGTTATTTGTTGTTGTTGTTATTTGTTGTTGTTGTTGTTGTTGTTATTTGTTGTTGTTGTTGTTGTTATTATTTGTTGTTGTTGTTGTTGTTGTTAATCCTAAGAGGGACCATGTGCTAAATGTTTGGAGCGTTGTGTCTCCAGTCTTGATGCCACATGGTTAAGTGTTCACAGAGAATCTGGACATTTGGACCATTTCATATGCTTGGATTTGTGTGGCTTGGTTTGTTTGTTTGTTTGTTTGTTTTGTTAATTGTTTTGTTAATTTTCCAGTAGCTGAGGTCCGGTGGTGGTTCTGGTGTGCTGGCAGTACTTTCTGTTCTTCCTGAGTTGGGTTGTGTCACTACGTGTTAAAGGTTTGTTTTGGTGTTATTGTTTGGTGGTACTGTGTACTACTGCTAACTTCAGCTTCTGTTTTTGTTTATCAGTTTATGGTTTCTGTTTGGGAACATTATTATAACCTAGAGTTTTTAAATAGAAACAAATAGTTTTTTTTTAAATAAATAAATGTGAACAGTGTCAGGTGTTCCCAGTATTTGGTATAAATGATCCTGTGTACCTTTCTTTATGAGTAGTAGTAGTAGTACTCTCTGGGTGAAACTCCCAGTTGTCCAGTTTGGAGCTGTGTATTTTATGCTAATGACTCCACCCTGGTAGTAGTACCACATCAGAAAACAGTTAAATCACTTGTTGTTAACTCCTTATAAAACATTTCATACATTTATGTCTTTTTTTAAAAGTAAAACAAATGTGAAAAGGTCTGTTTCACATCCAACTGGTTGCAAAAGCAGCAATTAAAGACATATTTTATGTACAATTGCAAATATTAGTTTGCATTTAAATTGTTGGAATAGATTAATTTTTCTTCAGAATTGAGTGATTCCATATTTTCCCTGTACTTGGTCAATAAAAGTAACATTCACTGACTTCCACAATGTTTTCTCTTCATTTCTTTGAGCGTTCCTGAAAGCAACAAGTTTCACTTTGGAATGACCTGATTATTGTCTCATGTTTTAGATCTGAGTTTGTTTTACAGGATGACATGTCTGAATGAGAGCTGATTCCATTCGTTATGACAGGTTGTACTGTGACTGCTGGATATGAGCTGCAGTCACCCTGAAAGGAAGAAGTGAGCAACAAGTAATGGATGCAGGAAAATTACTTGTTTTCTTGGTGTCACAGTATTTTAGTTTTAGTTTAGTTTTTTATTTGTATCTCTTTAATTTTTAACTAATTCTACTCAGTTCCTAGTGTTCCTTATTGTTCGTAAAGGTCTTGCAATAAAATAAATTTTTGTGCTTCTGTGAGTGAGCCTAAGTTTGGATTCACTACAACTGCAACACATTGAACAGATGGCTGTAATTTATTGGTAGTAATAGTGTGTGTTTTACACAAGGACAGCCTGGAGACAAGGTGTGTGTGTTTGTAGTAATCCGTCCTGACTTTAGTTTGACTCGTGTTGAAGTACTGTGGTACAGACAGCAGAAAACTTGATGTACTCCACAACACAAGTCCTGTTTATATTTGATCCTCAGTGTTTCTGTGAAACTTGTTCTGAACGACACATTTTCTATCATAGACATTTAGATGGAGTGGGAAGGACTCAGATGAAGACCTTCCACAGGACTCTGCAGTCACTGTTCCCAGGTCAGTGTTTTTCTGCTCTTGTATCATGTGGATTATATATTTAAATAACAGCACCGTCATGTTTTCACTTGTTTAGGTGGAGACAGGTTTGACACTGGCAGACATCTTGGACAGTTTTCAAACTGAGCACAAAAAGGACACAAACATCACCGTATCCTTGAAGAAATTTATAGTTATTATAGATTAGTACTGATATTAGAAACAACACTAGAGTATTAGGTTTTTTTATAACACTTTTATAATGTTTGATCTATTATGTGTTCATTGAAATAGAGTAGCTACATGTCCGAATCATAACCAACACATAAGTGAAGCGTTATGATCACATTAGGTTGGGTTATTGGATGAATGCCTGTGATTCAGCCGTAGGTCAGCAGGGGGCGAACTCAGGCATTGAAGAATCGTGTAAAAACGTGAACTTCCTGACGTTGAGTCCAGAGTGGTTTCCTTGTCAGCCGGTGACAAATAAACCTCACTCAGGTCCAGAATTCTGGTGTTGTACGACTTTATTCGTTTCACAAATCAGTTTATTTAACAATTGTGTTTTCATCTTGACTTCAGTCGATATTGAACACGTATTTCTTACATGACAACAGAGAGCCCTTCTGAGCCATGACCATGACCAAACCAAGTGTCTGCTGGAAGATGTTCCACAACTGGAATTTATCAGAGACATGGCAGCTGATTACAGGGGCTCAAAGACTGTTTCTTAGGTATATATACAGTATATATACAGTATATATACAGTATATATATATTAATTAGAATTAGCATCATAACAAACTGCTGCTGTAATCATTAATAAGTGTGTTTTTGTTTCCAGGCTTCTGATGTTAGAAGTTGGTTCCTCAGGAGTGTTTGAAGGTCAGACAGGGAACCTGTTCTTCAGCTCTGACCTGGAGGAGCTGGTCTGGTCAGGAACAAGTACTTCCTGGCAGCGAGACTGACTGCAGGGTCCATCTTCCATAATGGCCCTGGTCCCAGTGGACCTAAATACCAGTCTTTACAGGATGATGTGTGGTCAGCCAGTAGACGTCCCTGCACTGGTACCAGTGCTTCCTGTTGACTCGACACAACATGTTGAAGGTCAGATCATTAGTTCTGCTTGGTTTGATGTCGTTTCTGGTTTTGGTTTGTCGTTCGATGTACTTTTACTTCTTTATGACTGAATTAATAAATAAAAAATAAAAAACTTTACACATGATGTTTTTAAATCACCCTGTTTTACATTTTAGTCATATGCACTTAGAGTCTTTATAAAGTGACTTTCAGTGTTTTGGTCCTGAGTGGTCCTCATGCTAACAGCCTGTCTTTCACCTCTTCTATGAGCTGAGTCTGAAACTACTTCTGTTTGTTTTAATCTTAGTTTCAGTCCTCCTCCTCCTCCTCCTCCTCCTCCTCCTCCTGCTCCTCCTCCTCTAACAAGCTGTTTAGAAACCTTTTCTAATTATTTAAGAGTAGTAAACGACTGAAGACTTGTCCATCCTCACATGTTGGATCCAGAGTTCAGGTCAAACAACAGAACTTTAAATATTATATGAGTTTTATTTCTGTGATCCTTTATTAGACATAGCTGTCCTCTGAAGGTTTGGACCTGCTCCACACCTGATGAGCTGCAGGAGGTGAAGGAGGAGTTTCCATCTGTGTGATGGAGACAGTTTGAGCTCCATGTATTCCACAGGTAAGAATGAGAGAGGATTCTTCATGAATATGGAGTTAAACACACTTAGTTTCATTTACAGGATGTTTAACATGTTTAACATGTTTTTACTGAAAGCTCTCCCAGCATGGTCAGCCAGTACAGGAACAGATTGAACCAGTGTGGGCCTTCTGCAGGTAGTGGGCAGAAACTGTCCACCTGTGTGTTTACAGCACAGGTGAGCTGCCTGCAGTGTGTTTTCATGGTAACATGGAGTCCTGCTGCAAACAACCGAAGGAGGAAGAAGAGGAGAACTGGCTGCTGGATGTTGTACAACAAGGTAACTGAAAACCTTTGAGTCTAAATCTTCACATGTGGACACAGACCTGTTTGTTTCATCACCACATGGACAAGTTGACCTCTCTGTTCAGCAGCTGCTCATCTTTGTGTCGGGGACAGACCTAATCCGAACCAGGAGAACCCTGCCTCCCAATGTTTCCTCCCAGAGGAGCACAGTGTGCTGAGGACATGAACGAGCTGATGGAATGCAGCCAGAGGCTCACACAGCTTCGTTTAAAGAAAACTGTTTAAAGTAAATGTTCACATGTCCATTCTTCATTAGGAACATTTGTAACTGCTTCAAACCTGGTCAGTTGTTATTAAATCAACAAACGTTTGTGTTTTACTTTGTCCAAAATATCTTACAAATCTCACAATTCAAACAAAAACAAAGTAAACATAATCAACTATGAGAAGTTAGAGTCAAATACAAATATCTGTACTGTACCACAGTGAGTACATTCACAGATTAAAGGCAGGTTTTTATTGACTCTTCCTTCATTCAGTCTGTCAGTAAACAGGTTTTACTCAGTAAAGAATTAATTAACACTTCAAACTCTGACATTTGAAACATTTCAACAGCTCTTTTTAAAGTTTTTTGTACTTCACTTTACACGGCCCATCTGTGGTGAAGATACTAAAAAGTAGCCTGCAGAAACTTTATGTGACGTACATGATGGTATGAGGCTACCACTCACAGTGTCAGCCACATGTTTGGACATGATGCTGCTCCACATGTGCAGCTGTGCTCAGGAACCTCATGGATAAACATGTGTAGGTTATCTGTGTCATGTTATAAAGGAACTGTAATTTTAGTAAATCCTGTTTTTACTACAGTGAGATTTATGTCAAGACTGTGGAAACATTGGTGTCATCATTTATTTGTGACTCAGTGAAGATTGTTAAGATTGAGCTTGGTTGATCAGAACCCCAGGATGCAGAACTGAGTGAGGAGGCAAAAAGTGATTTATTACAACAAAACAAAGAGGCTGACGTGGCAGCAAAAAGAACAAGGTCATTGGACAGGAACATCAACAATCAAACAGTAAACAGAGAGCAAGGATCTGACAAAGACTGAGGACAAAGGACAGAATATAAAGGAAGAACTAATGAGGTGAAACAAGAAACACCTGGGGAAGAAACATGAGGATCAGGTGTGAGTGGGCGGGGCTAAAGCAAAGACAGACAGGAAGAAAACAGGAGGAAAAGACAGAAAAACTTAGAATAAATCATAAGCGCAGACACAAATCATGACAAATGTTTATTTTTATTTTTCTCTTCTTTTGTTTTTACCTTTCTTTTTTACTGTGGACCTTTTGTGTCTGGAATAAAGATTGGTTGAATTTGACTGAAAAAAAAAAGTAGTTTAAAATCAGGACAAGGCTTATCTTTACACAAAAATGGAGAAAAGTAATAAATGAATGGTCCAGGATGGATTATAAAGCTTTACTGACACCTGCTGTCCTGAAAGAGAAACTACATGTTGACCAACAGTTTGAATCATCTTTTATCATGTGACCAGGAGCGTGCACACACATGTTCAGGGACAGGTGCACAAATGTAAAAACAGGCACCTTGTCTGGTGTCACAGAACCAGTGGGTCCTGATAATGTGACATTACAGACACATCCTGTACATGTTTATCTATTTTAAATCAGATTTATTCTGTCTGATACAGATGTTTAATATTCAACTCTACAGGTTGGTTTCTGTAACAAACTGACAACAACAGAACAAAAACTAGTAATGACAATGTTTGTAGAGTTTATAAAATAACTATAATCAAAATGACTAATGTCTTTTTGTTGTGTGGAGGATCTTCCTTCAGTCATAGAGCTGTTTCCATGATCTGAATGAAACATTTCATCTGTGTCTGACGGAGGAAGGCAGGAAAACATGGAGCTGCTTCTCTGCTGCAGTTAAAACACCAACAATATGAAATATGTTGATTTGGGTGAAACTGCTTGGTGACAAAGGTCAGTGCAATAAATTACAACATTTAAACTAATCAGACTCTAAATTACTGTCAAAATGTAACACTCTAACACAGGGGGGTCGAATTCACAAGGGGGCCAAAGTTCCACACTTAGTCCAGATCAAGAGAC